CTTTTCCCTGGAAGTCTACAAAGCTCTGCTTGGTAAGGGTCTCTCGCGGAAGCCAGAAGCAGTTGGTACCAGGTGTAGGGGCTCCACGCCAACAGAGGCAAAGAAAGACTGCCCAGATTAGAAGTTAAGGATTTCCCCATTAGTTAAATATACAGTTATGAAGATAGTGCCTGTTCCCAGTGAACAAGATTGAAAGAGCCAATAAACTGTTAAGAAAGCCTTAAAGTACCTGTTTGTTTTCATAAATAAAGAACTTTGTTGAACCTTTAAGCAATCTAAAGACTTTGTTTTGGGGCCTTTAATCTGAGGCAGCCCCGGTGTCCCGTTGGGCACACAGAATTTATGTCCTGTCCACAGTCTTATGCATAGGCCCAGCATGCGACAGCACAGTGAGTGTGTTTCAGTTTCCTGATGTTTCTGTGTCTGATGTGGGTAATGAGGAGGGAAATCAGTCTCCTGTTGCTTCTGATGTGGGGGATGCTGGGGCTGAGTGCAAGATGGAGACACTTTGGTCAATAAGTTTCATGCAGACACTGACAGAGAGGCTTCGGTGCAAAGGGCAGATTCTCATGAGAATGTTTCTGTCAGGCCTTGGGAGGAAGGTTTACTCCCTCCGCCTGTGAGCTCTCCAGATTCTAGTTTGGAAAACAGTCTGACACCTGGGAAAGTTAATGAGGAGTCAGATAAGCAGATTCAGCGGCTGGAGATTAGCCAGAATTGACAAGAGGCCCAGTGTTTACGTAGATCTGAAAGAATTCTGTGCAGGTACAACTGTACCAGGAGCTCCAATTTTGTTTGCTTTGCATTGAATGTTTGTTGTAGTCCTAAGTTTCAGGGACTCTGCAGATAGGTGGCTTCTTTTGGCTGCAATCATAGGGCAAGCCACCTGTCAATTATAGTTAGGTTCCCTGGTCCCGCCCCTTTTTGGGTTTTTGGAGGGAATAAGAGCCTTTTTGGGTTCAGTCCACACAGAGAAGCCTTTCATGCAGGACATAATACCAAGAGCTCCTGTAGAAAGCTTCGTCTTCTATGGCTTGGCCAGGGAGATATACAGCCTACAGCTTGGCCGGGGTTATACAGCCCTACAGCTCCTTTGCTGAAGGACTTCAGTCAGCCATCACGGAAACCTGAACTTTTCCCCTGGAAGTCTACAAAGCTCTGCTTGGTAAGGGTCACTCGCGGAAGCCAGAAGCAGTTGGTACCGGGTGCAGGGGCTCCACGCCAACAGAGGCAAAGACAGACTGCCCAGATTAGAAGTTAAGGATTTCCCCATTAGTTACAGTTATGAAGATAGTGCCTGTTCCCTGTGGACAAGATTGAGAGAGAGCCAATAGTCTGTTAAGAAAGCCTTAAAGTACCTGTTTGATTTCATTAATAAAGAACTTTGTTGAACCTTTAAGCAATCTAAAGACTCTGTTTTAAGGAAATCCAAAGGCCTTTAATCTGAGGCAGCCCCAGTGTCCCATTGGGCACATGGAATTTATGTCCTGTCTACAGTCTTATGCCCAGTGTGCGACAGCACAAATTCGTCAATTAAAGTCAAAGTCTGGTGGAAAATGAAACAAGTTTTTGGGATTTAAAGTGTGTCTGTAGAAAATATTGTCAGATCAGGCATTGTTTGGAAACCAAGTATAAGCCTTATGGAATTCCTGCTGAAGTGGATTCGTCTTCATGGATTTCTCTAGCCTTTCCAGGTGACTAGTAGCATTTGGTCTATTCTTGCATCTTGTTTGATTCCTGTCTAGATATCACTGCATTGGATTATAATCTCATGCTTTTTGGACATTGTTTTTGATTGCTACATTTTGGACACTGTTTTATCTGGCTGCCTTTGAATGCCTTATTGCTTTTTTGCAATCTTATCTATCATTACAAGCATTTATTTCTACTGGCTTTTTTGCTAAGCTATAATAAAAAAGGATTGTTCCTTCATTCAACATGTGGTGTGTTTTAGTCAGAAGGGCTATTTCCTGTTTTGCAGTGCAACACAAACTGAATCCAATGTTGACCAAAAACTGATTTGTAACCCAAAGTGTCCCCGGTCAAAAAAAAAGTTGGGAACCACTGTGTTAGAGGATGTTTGGGAGTACTAAGCACCACCCTTACTTTGATGCAGGGTGGAGGTTTAATTCAGCCCCTAGCATTCAGCATTTGGCCATCTGTGATTAACAACACAATGTATTACAGAACACAATTATCCCAACCTCCTAAATCCTACCTCTGTGTCATTGCGTTGCCAAAGTCAACGTCTGTGTTTGTTTTCCTCCCTGTTTTTCAGATTACTTTGCTGCTTTTCTGGCAGGCCCAAACATTTGATTACATAAATTTGAATTAAATGTCCTTGACCGTGTTCATTGCTTTGAGGATAGGATTGTCCAACCGTCGTTTGTTTGCCAGCTTTCCAGCTTGGTCTTATCATTGTTTCTAAAGATCTGTGATAAGGTTTTAGCACTTGCTGTCAAAGGCCATATTGCATTTGCCATCTTTTATTACTGCCACCGAAACGAGCAAATAGTCTTTAGTCTCAGCTTAAATTATACTTTTGTTCCATTAGCGAAGCAGTCTTTGTAAACAGACACTAAAACAATGTATGGACAATGTTTACTCTCCTATTAATTTTTGAGAGAATGAGGCTGATCCTCGGAGCTTACCGGGTTGAATGTGGTTTCAATATCAAAGAGGTCTTGTTTCAATATGGAAGAGAAATCTCCTGGGCTTCTTCTACTCCCCCAAGGAGAACCTACGTCTTTTATTCTGTTGACACTGAGTAAGTTCAAACTACAGTGATCCATCAAGCATGGCACTCTCTGAATATTACCTAAGTCCCAATAAACTCTCAGTGAGTAATTCATTGAGTTCAGCAGGCTTTAATGAGGACTTAAAAGCTTGCTTCTCTGTGTAAGTTTCAGGATTTTACTGAGGAAAGTAAAATTAGATTGACCTAAAGACCGATAGCAGAAGAGTATTCAAATAATGGAGGGGGGGGGGGGGAGAAACACTACAAATCATTAAATATTGGGATATTCCTTTTCCTCTTTCAGTTGCGAAATCTCTGCTCAGAAAAAGAGCTTTCCTGTATGCATCTGTTATGCTTTTGGAATAGTCTGCCCATCATCCTGCACTTCCCAGCAGTAGACATCATTTGCCCATGATCCTGCAGTAAGAAAATTACCTGGCAATACTGGGGGACTGAAAGCCAAACAACCAATGCTGTCATCAGGCGGCAATGAAACGTCAATATCCTTCATTGCATTGCGATTATTTGTTGATGTGTTACCAAACATACTCATGCCACCAGTTCCAAATCCTTATGTTGACCCAAACAAACTCATTTTGGCCCTACTGATGGCTCCCTTCCACTTCCTTCACGCAGCTCTCTTCCCTCAATGCCTTGCCAGGCGGTAATAAGGGCCACGTCATTCAATTTTTAAAATATATGTATATATTTAATTTTTAATTTTTTTAATTTTTTAAAAAAAATTAAAAGTTTTTCTCTGCAGTGTTGCTGAAGAATTAAAACCGAGACACGTTTGCCAGAATAAACCCTCCCCAAGAAAATGATGACAGTGAAGTTTCAGTGGGACCAAGCTGGGATCCGATTATGTGCCAGGAAATAATCGACTTGATACACAACCTAAAGCCAAATAAGGCCCCGGGCAGTGATGCCATTACCCCTGAAATACTGAAGGCAAACCCACTATGGTGGGCAAACCTGCTAGCAAACCTTTTTACAAGGAGCAATGAAACGGGGTCCATGCCAAAGGCAACATTTACACTTGTTTCCAACAGACAAAGGTTATTTCTCCCACCCTGGACATTATTCCACAGATATAAACCCAATTTTCCTAGTTTCCAATAGACCTCACAACCTCTGAGGATGCCAACCATAGATGTAGGCAAAACGTCAGGAGAGAATGCTTCTGGAACATGGACATACAGCCCGGAAAACTCACAACAACCCAGTGATTTTGGCCTTTGACAAATACATTAAATCCATCTTTATTTTTCAAGTCACTTCATAAATTACTTAAACGTGGCCCTATTGTATTTTGATACACAAAGGTGATATGCACTTTAGAATAATTGGGAAAAGGCTGGAGAAGGGTTTATAAAGACAGAGAAGGGTTTATAAAGACATTGTGTTGATATCCAAAAATAAAAAAAGACATCCAAATTGTACTGCACCCTCCCTCAACCCCATCCTTTATTGTAACTCTCATTATATCAACATCTTACTATAATCCGTCTCCCGTCCACTATTTGGATCCAGCCATAGATGTAGGCAAAATGTCAGGAGAGAATGCTTCTGGGACATGGCCATACAGCCTGGAAAACTCACAACAACCCAGTGATTTTGGCCTTTGACAAATACATTAAATCCATCTTTATTTTGCAAGTCACTTCATAAATGACTTAAACGTGGCCCTATTGTATTTTGATACACAAAGGTGGCATGCACTTTAGAATAATGAGGAAAAGGCTGGAGAAGGGTTTATAAGGACATTATGTCGATATCCAAAAATAAAAAAGACATCCAAATTGTACTGGACCCTCCCACAACCCCATCCCCAGCATACTTTATTGCAACTCTCATTATATCAACATCTTACTATAATCCGTCTCCTGTCCACTATTTGGATTCGACAAAATGCATCTTCACTATCTCTTTACATCAAAGGTATGGCAGAGATAATGCCAGTTTTAAGTCAATGTAAAATAGCTGGAGGGGAAAGATAGCCTTGAGTGCCTTCATCATTGTTGTTTATTCCAACCTCACCTCACCCTTGAACAAACTCCTCTCTCGTCTGAGAGCAGTCGAAAATAGCCACCATCACTTCCCTGATTGTCGTAATTTAATTAAATAACCTTTCACACCAAGCAAACCCAAAAGCAAAAAGGCTCATTAATCTTTCTAGTGATTAGAGATGCCTCGAGAGCTTCGAACATTTACCTCTCCTTCCCAGCAGCAGAAATGGATTTAGGAGGATCATGGTTCATACCTCGCATTCCCTGGAGCCAGAAATGGTATACGTGCAGGGTCCAGATCCATTAACCGATACATCCATGGTCTCGGAATTTGTAGGCTTGTAGTCCACATAATACTCCTGTAAAGGGGAGTTCATTTGCCTTTCTGACTCTCGGGCTTTTTTCCGACGCCTCTTCATAAGAGAGTGTTGCTGGAGCTGTTTCATGCTGGCAGGGTAACGCTTCCAGGAGACATAAATGACCAACAGAATCATTGCCACCGAAAGAAAGAGGGCAACGCTTCCAGCAATAATCTTGTGAAAGGAAACATGCTCATACTCGAGTTCGGGTCCAGATGTTGGAAACTCCGGAGAAGGGCTTGGTGTAAACGATGTCAGTTGATAGTCTTCCAGTTTGGGAAGAGTAGGCTTGGGGACAAAAATGGGCCTCTGTTGAGTTTTAGGTGCCTGGTACGGCTTCTCGGTGACAACCACTGGGATTTCGGCACAGATGTTGTAGGTTTCGACAGCATCACTCACCTTTTCGCCTTGGATATGCTTGGGACCTGCACAAATCATGGTGCTTTCCTTGTTCCCCTTGAAGTTTTTAAGCCAGGTAAACAGGGGGCAAATACTCCGAGTACATTCCCACATATTTCCAGACAAGGTGATGGATATTAAAGAAATCCAGGCATTGACAGTCTCCTGAGAGATATTGGTCAGTTTGTTGGAATCCAAATTGAGCTTCTGCAAATTGGGCAGGCACTGGAACGTCCCAGGTTCAATCCCCGCAATATCATTCCCTGATAAATCCAAGTTGTGTAAGGAACTCCAAGTCCATGTTAACCCTTGGCTAATGGACCGGATCTTATTCCACTGCAAGTAAATGGAGCGCAGGCTAAAGAGACGTGGAAAGTGAGCAAAGTTGATTTTCGAAAACTGGTTGTGCTCCAAGTGGAGCTCGGTGAGCTTCAAGAGGCCGGCGAACGCATTGCGGGACAAACTCCGCAGGCGGTTGTAACCCAAATCCAGAAAGTCGAGATTGCGGCAATCTTGGAAAACTCGAATCGGAACAGTCTTCAACGAGTTGGACCGTAAGTGCAAGATCAAGAGCTTGCGGAGACCTTTGAACTGCTCAGATTGCAATGCCTGCAGCTTGTTGTACGACAGGTCCAGGTTGCGGAGGTTGGGGACTGGGTGAAATGTTTTGTTGTGCAGATGAGTGATTTTATTGGAGCTCAGGATTAATTCCTTCAGCCTACGGATGCCCTGGAAGGCATCCTCGTCTACGGAACCGATGTAATTGTGGTCAAGGTACAGCCATATGAGTTGGTGAAGGCCTGCAAACTGATTTGGTTTGAGCTTCTGGATGCTGTTGTACCGCAATGATAAACCTTGAGATCCTCCAGAAATGTTTTGAGGAATGTCTCTAAAAGCATGAGACTCACAATAGACAATTTTGCCATCACATCTGCAGTTTTTGGGGCAGGCTCGTTGAGCCCCTGTCAATGTCACAAACAGCACTGTAGGAAGGAGCACGAAGACTGCACTCATGCCTCTCAGGTGCTTAATTACATGGAAACCTGTAATATTAGAAAAATGACAGACATTGTCAAGTCATTCCAATCAACCAGGAGCAGCTATGCAATAGAACGACTTCTAATATTGCCTAACAGGTCTAGCTAGATCCAAGGCTGTCTCCTATTTCCTTTGATTCTTTTGCATGGTAATGCTTCTTCTTCAGTCCCTTATTTCACTGCTTTATCATTCCCTTCCCATGAAAATACCCACTCCTCATTATCTCAGTATAATTTATGATTTTTAAAAATATTTTTCATTTAATTCCGTGTATATCACCATGGGGGCCCCTGGTGGCACAGCAGGATAAACTGCCGAGCTGCTGAACTTGCTGACTAAAATATCAGTGGTTCGAATCCGGGATGCAGGGTGAGCTCCTACTGTTAGCCCCAGCTTCTGCCAACCTGGCAGTTCGAAAACATGCAAATGTGAGTAGATCAATAGGAACCGCTTCTGCGGGAAGGTAGCGGCACTCCATGCAGTCATGCTGGCCAAATGACCTTAGAGGTGGCTACGGACAATGCCGATTCTTTGGCTTAGAAATGGAGATGAGCACCACCCCCCAGAGTTGGATATCACTAGACTTAATGACAAGGGGAAACCTTTGCCTTTACTATATCACTATTATAACGATTAACCAGAAGACCTAGGATCCCAACAATAAACCTGCTTGTCAAATCACCAGGAAAGCAAATCAGTGTTTCTGAATAATCCTGTACCTTTGGGCATCTCAAGAGCCATACAAACAACCATACAAATGTGTTTGTTTTTTTTTGGAAAGCAGAAGAAAGTAACAGTTTGGGAAACTGCAAAAATACATTGGGGGGTAAACATGATTCGAAAAGCATGCAAAGAAGGGCAGTTTCATGTGAGTTAAACCTAAGGCAAACATGGAGTAATGTGGGCTTGCACACATGTCTAATGTGCCTTATTTTGTGTGGGAGAAAATCTCCGCAAATATGGCCAATGCAAATCTATCTTCCTATATATTTTTTACTGACAGCAGTGTCATACAAGAGAGAAGGGAGGGAGGGATTTATTTGTGTGTGAGTTTTTGTGTTTGTGTGGCACAGGCAGCTGCTTTTCGGAGTCATATTAATTTATCCAGACACACTTGGTATCACCACAGCAGCAAAAGGGCAAAACCTGCACCAGAATCTTCCCCTCTACTTGCTCCCAATTTCTGCCTGTTTTCATATTTCACAACTGACATCCTGAGCAACTTAACGGCACTGTAATTCCAATGCGCCTGCAGCCCGCAATTCCCACATTCCCTGAATAACAGAGGTCTCGGAAAAGCATCGCTCACAAGCCTTGTGTATGTGTGATTTGTGGAGTGGAGAACTGGAAGAGGAGGGTAGAATTTTTTTTGACACTGTCGTCTTTTGATCCAATAGATCTTTCCAGAGTTTGGGAATCGTTCTGGGAAAAAAAAACCCAGTTGCATTCTTCCATCGGGGAAATTTGGAAGCAGCTCTGATTCCCCCAGTAACAAATAATACCATTGTTATTATTGGGAGAGAAAAAGAGGGAGAAGGAAGAGTGGGACAGCACAAGGAAGGGAGAATATGCAGATATTTCTCTGATGTTTCAGTCTGAAATCAAGAGGTGATGTGCTGGAGAGCGGCGAAGTGTGGAGAATTCCTAATCAAAAGAGCTTTTGACTCTCCTCTCTGATCTCCCCCCTCCTTCCCCACTTTAATGGTGAGCTTTTTCCCCCCATTTAAATTCTGATCTTCTTTCATCCCCCCCCCCCTTCTTAGAACATTCCCCATCTATGCCAGGAATACCAACCAAATCCAACCCAGAATTTATAGATTGACGGGGAAAATATAAACACAGAATTGGGAGAGTTGGTGGCGCTGCTATGGTGGATTAAGCTATGGAATGACTGCTGGGGATATAGCGGCTCTTTTGGAAGGGATCCTGAATGTGGATGCAACATGCCTTTGTGTACTTTTGCATGGGCACACACACCCTATCAACCTTCCTAATACCGCGACCCCTTAATACAGTTCCTCATGTTGTGTTGACCCCCAACCATAACATTATTTCCATTGCTACTTCATAACTGTAATTTTGCAACTGTTATGTATCGTCATATGAATATCTGATATGCAGGATGTATTTTCATTCACTGGACCAAATTTGGCACAAATACCCGATATGCCCAAATTTGAATACTGGTGGGGGGTGGGGGGATTGATTTTGTCATTTGGGATTTATAGTTCACCTACAATCAAAGAGCATTCTGAACTCCACCAACGATGGAATTGAACCAACTTGGCACACAGAACTCCCATGACCAACAGAAAATACTGGAAGAGTTTGGTGGGCATTGACCTTTAGTTTTGGAGTTGTAGTTCACACTACATCCAGAGAGCACTGTGGACTCAAACAATGATGGATGGACCAAACTTGGCAGAATCCTCAATATGCCCAAATTTGAAAACACTGGTGGGAGTTTGGGGAAAATAGACCTTGACATTTGGGAGTTGTGTTGCTGGGATTTATAGTTCACCTACAATCAAATATCTCTGAAAACTAACAAAATGAAGTTCGACAGTGAAAAATGCAAGATACTCCACTTTGGCAGGAAAAACGAAATGCAAAGATACAGAATGGGGAACAATGCCTGGCTCGAGAGCAGTACGTGTGAAAAAGATCTTGGAGTCCTCGTGGACAAGTTAAACATGAGCCAACAATGTGATGTGGCGGCAAAAAACGCCAATGGGATTTTGGCCTGCATCAATAGGAGCATAGTGTCTAGATCTAAGGAAGTAATGCTACCCCTCTATTCCGCTTTGGTTAGACCACACCTGTAATATTGTGTCTAATTCTGGGCAACACAATTCAAGAGAGATATTGACAAGCTGGAATGTGTCCAGAGGAGGGCGACTAAAATGATCAAGGGTCTGGAGAACAAGCCCTATGAGGAGCGGCTTAAGGAGCTGGGCATGTTTAGCCTGAAGAAGAGAAGGCTGAGAGGAGATATGATAGCCATGTATAATGTGAGAGGAAGCCACAGGGAGGAGGGAGCAAGCTTGTTTTCTGCTTCCATGGAGATTAGGACAAGGAACAATGGCTTCAAACTACAAGAGAGGAGATTCCATCTGAACATGAGGAAGAACTTCCTGACTGTGAGAGCCGTTCAGCAGTGGAACTCTCTGCCCCGGAGTGTGGTGGAGGCTCCTTCTTTGGAAGCTTTTAAACAGAGGCTGGATGGCCATCTGTCAGGGGTGATTTGAATGCAATATTCCTGCTTCTTGGCAGGGGGTTGGACTGGATGGCCCATGAGGTCTCTTCCAACTCTTTGATTCTATGATTCTATGGCAGAATTGGGCCAGACTTCCCACACAGAATCCCCATAACCAACAGAAAATACTGTGCTTTCTGATAGTCTTTGGCGACTCCTCTGACACCCCCTCGCAACCCTCTTCGGGGTCCCGACCCCCAGGTTGAGAACTACTGCTATAAAGAAAGGAAAACATGGGTAAAAAAGTCCCAAACTGCATTGAGGTATCAGTCCAGCCTAAGATCTAATAAGCAGTGTACTAAGGCCATGTATTCCAAGAGGAATTGAATACAAGGGAAGGGGGAGAAAACTGCAGGAGATAAACTATAAAGGACTAGCCATCCCCTGCCACACATTGCTGTGTGTATGTCTGTGTGTGTATGTGTTTTCTGTGTGTATATGTGTGTGTATATGTGTACATATGTGGGTTTGCATATTTTGTGCATGTGTTGTAATGCAATTTTTGGTTTTTGCCTTTTTAAGTCCCTTCTGCTGTGTTTTTCAGTGTTTTTATGAGTAATGGTCACTTGTTGGCCTGATAGGTGTCTTGTGTCCAAATTTAGTGTCAATTCATCCAGTGGTTTTTGGGTTATGTTAATCCCACAAACGAACATTACATTTTTATTTATATAGATTAGGACAGGAAAGTGCAGATGGAGGGAAGTGAAGCAACAAGAATCTCAAAATACAGATTTGTGGCAGTAAGAAAGATGGTTGAGATTTCTTGCCAAAGGCTTTCATGGTCGGAATCACTGGGTTGCTGGCACTGCACTGATGGGAAAATTCTGGGCTAGGGTAACACTGGGTTGTTGTGAGTTTTCTGGGCTGTATGGTTATGTTCCAGAAGCATTCTCTCCTAACATTTCACCCACATCTATGGCAGGCATCCTCAGAGGTTGTGAGGTATATTGGAAACTAAGCACGGTAGGTCTATATATCTGTGGAATGTCCAGGGTAGGAGAAAGAATTTGTATCTGTTGGGGAAAAAAAGTGTTCATGTTGCAATTGATCACCTTGATTAGCATTGCAAAGCTTCAAGGCCTGGCTGATTCCTGCCTGGGGGAATCCTTTGTTGGGAGGTGTTAGCTGAAGCACTCCAAGTGGCCAGCTACTGGTCAAAGGATATTTAATCAACTACCAAACTCACAAATTTTGTATTTTGTCTGTTTGTTTGCTTTGTTCTGTTAGAAATGTAATATAATTGACTGGTTGCCCTGACATGACAAATAAAAGCTGGTCCTAATTGTTTCATATCTTGAATTCCCCTATTTCACAGCTTGTTATTTATTGTCTGAGGATGCCTGCCATAGATGTTGGAGAAACATCAGGAGAGAATGCTTCTGGAACATAGCCATACAGTCCAGAAAAGTCACAGCAACACATTGTTGGGATTTATTGTTGAAGGCTTTCATGGCTGGAATTACTGGGTTGTGGTGAGTTTTCTGGGCTCCATGGCCATGTTCCAGAAGCATTCTCTCCTGACGTTTTGCTTGCATCTACAGCAGGTATCCTCAGAGGTTGTGAGGTCTGTTGGAAACTAGGAAAATGGAGTTTATAGGATGCCTGTCATTCTGAAGCAACCACAAACTGAAAATACAGATAGAGCAAGCCATTTTAGTGGTGATAAGAAATATTGTTGGGATTTATTTTTGAAGGCTTTCATGGCTGGAATCACTGGGGTGCTGTGAGTTTTCCAGACTGTATATATAGCCATGTCTCTTGACGTTTCACCTGCATCTATGGCAGGCATCCTCGGATGTTGTGAGGTCCGTTGGAAATTAGGTTTTATAGTATGCCTGCCATAGATGCAGGTGAAACGTCAGGAGAGAATGCTTCCGGAACATGGCCATACAGCACAGAAAACTCATAGCAACCTATTGTTTAAGGCTTTCATGGCCAGAATCACTGGTTGTGGTGAGTTTTCTGGGTTCCATGTCCATGTTCCAGAAGCATTCTCTCCTGATGTTTCGCCTGCATCTATGGCAGGCATCCTCAGAGGTTGTGAGGTCTGTTGGAAACTAGGAAAATTGATGTATTGTCGAAGGCTTTCATGGCTGGAATCACTAGGTTCTTGTGGGTTTTTTCGGGTTATAGAGCCATGTTCTAGAGGTATTTCTCCTGATGTTTCGCCTGCATCTATGGCAAGCATCCTCAGAGGTTGAGAAGGTCAACATGGCCATACAGCACAGAAAACTCACAGCAATTGTTGGGATTGTTAGGTTGTTCCTTGGGTTATATATGAAGACGGACAGGCACACACACACACAACAGAGAGAGATGCAGCTCTGTCAAAGGAAATGGGGTTTATAGGATGCTTGTTGGGGTTTATTGTTGAAGGCTTTCATGGCTGGAATCACAAGTTGTTGTGAGTTTTCTGGGCTGTATGGCCATGTTCCAGAAGCATTCTCTCCTGACGTTTCACCTGCATCTATGGCAGGCATCCTCGGAGGTTGTCAGGTTTTTTGGAAACTAGGAAAATCTCTGAGGATGCCTGCCATAGATGCAGGCGAAACATCAGGAGAGAATGCTTCTGGAACATGCCCATACAGCACAGAAAACTCATAGCAAGCATTGTCGAAGGCTTTCATGGCCAAAATCACTGGATTGTTGTGAGTTTTCTGGGCTGTATGGCCATGTTCCAGAAGCATTCTCTCCTGACGTTTCGCCTGCATCTACGGCAAGCACCCTTTGTCTCACCCTGGTCATTCCACAGATATATAAACCCATTTTCCTACTTCCAACAGACCTCACTACCTCTGAGGATGCTTGCCATAGATGCAGGCGAAACGTCAGGAGAAAATGCCTCTAGAACATGGCCATATAGCCCGGAAAAACCTACAACAACCCAGTGATTCCGGCCATGAAAGCCTTCGACAATACTAGTCTTTAATATATCATGCAAGATCCTCTGAAGATGCCAGCCATAGATGCAGGTGAAACATCAGGAGAGAATGCTTCGGGAACATGGCCATACAGCCCAGAAAACTCACATGGAAATCTATTTTCAGAGGCTTTCATGGCCGGAATCACTGGGTTGTTGTAAGTTTTCTGGGCTGTATGGCATGTTCCAGAAGCATTCTCTCCTGACGCTTTGCCTGCATCTACAGCAGGCATCCTCAGAGGTTGTGAGGTCTGTTGGAAACTAGGAAAATGGGGTTTTGCCATAGATGCAGGCGAAACATCAGGAGAGAATGCTTCTGGATCATGGCCATACAGCCCAGAAAACTCAGAGCAACCCATTGTTGAGATTGTTAGGTTGTTATATATGAAGACAGACAGGCACACACACACACAACAGAGAGAGAGATGCAGCTCTGTCTAAGGAAGAAAAGTTCACTCACCCATCCTTTTGTCATCTGTAACGGTGCCCCCTTTTTGCTTCCTTCCAGATGTTTTCCCTTCAGAAGGATGGGTTTTGTGGTTGCTTGGGCTTCTGTCCTTGCCTGGGTTGTCCAACCCTTTCCAAGCTGATCTCTCTCTCTCTTTCCTTTTCCTTCTGCTTCCTTTAAAGCATCACAGCATCCCTGTCACCCAGAAAAGGTGAGCTTGAGAGTCCATCCCGCATCAAGGCGACCCAAAGTTCCCCAGAGAGGGGGTCATGGGAGAATTTGGAGGGTGGGAAGGAAGAAATAGGGAGGAAAGGGTTGAGAGGTGCAAGGAAGGCAAGGCTTTGGGATGGGGAAGAGGGGAGCAAGGCTCCAGGAAAGGGGGGAAAGGGGAATTGCCGGCTTCTAAAGGAGCCCCCGACGCATCCTCCTCTCCAAGCTCAGCACACAAGCACAAGGAAGGGTCCAGCTTCCAATCGGAAATGGGGGGAAGAAGGAGGGGAAAAGGAACTTCTCTCAGGGAGAGGAAAAGCAACCAGGTCCCTGGGCTGCTCTGGGGCGCATCCTTCTCCTTCCTCTCTCTCTCAATCCGCTCCTTCTTGGCATCTCCAAGCCATCCTTGTGCAAACTCCCCACCGAGGAGGATGATGACGACGATGAGGAGTGAGGATGATGGTCTTGGCAGTCGTGTTTTCCCAGAACCAGGCGCAGAAGATGCCTATTTTGTGGGCATTAAGCGAAGTCTGTCCAAAAAAAAATCCATGGAGGCGGTGGTGCGCTTTGGGGCGCTTTGGCTGGAGAGGCTCTTCTTCTCCTTCCCTCTCCTTCCGAGAAGGGCTCCCCCCCCCCAAAAAAAAAAACCCCACTCACACACACCTCTGTCCTTTCCCTCCCCCTTCCTTTTTTTGGTCTCTCCCCCCTTTTCTTTTTTTCCCACAGAGTGATGAGATGCTCTGGAGCTCGTTGGTGCTAATGTTCCCGTTTGCGAGACACTGAGTGCCCTCCACTGGAGAAAACATCACACATTAAAAGCACGAACAAGCCAGGCTGTCATTGCTCTGCGGGCTCTCCTTCTGGCAGGGAGGAAATTAAAGACACAGGCCTAGTAGTCTTTCAGAGGTCCAAACAGGCAAAAGTCAGAAGAGGCCAAAATTATAAACATTCTTCAAGCATTGTCGAAGGCTTTCATGGCCGGAATCACTGGGTTGTTGTAGGTTTTTTTGGGCTATATGGCCATGGTCTAGAGGCATTCTCTCCTGACATTTCGCCTGCATCTATTTATTTATTTATTTATTATATATTTATTTATTTATCATATGAAAGCTAACTGGCACAACCTGGGGATCACAACCAGATACAGTGAAGACATCTGCCCTTGCGCTGTGCTACTCTGCTGCTGAGTATGCATGCCCAGTGTGGAACACATCTCACCACACTAAAACAGTGGATGTGGCCCTTAATGAGACATGCCGCATTATCACGGGGTGTCTGCGCCCTACACCACTGGAGAAATTACACTGCTTAGCCGGTATTGCACCACCTGGCATCCGCCAGGAAGTAGCAGCCAATAGTGAAAGGACCAAGGCAGAGACATCTCCAGCTCATCCCCTGTTTGGGTATCAGCCAGCACGCCAACGACTTAAATCAAGAAATAGTTTTCTAAGATCTACAGAGACACTCGCTGGAACACCCCAGCAAGCGAGAGTCCAAAAGTGGCAGGCTCAAACCCAGAACCTCAAACAATGGCTGATACCAAATGAGAGACTCCCCCCTGGGCACACAGAAGACTGGGCGACTTGGAAGGCACTGAACAGACTGCGCTCTGGCACCACGAGATGCAGAGCCAAACTCAAGAAATGGGGCCACAAAGTGGAATCCACGACATGCGAGTGTGGAGAAGAGCAAACCACTGACCACCTGCTGCAATGCAACCTGAGCCCTGCCACATGCACAATGGAGGACCTTCTTGCAGCAACACCGGAAGCACTCCAAGTGGCCAGATACTGGTCAAAGGACATTTAACCAGCTACCAAACTCACAAGTTGTATTTTTCTGTTTGTTTGCTTTGTTCTGTTAGACTGGTTGTTCTGACACGACAAATAAAATAAATAAATAAATAAAGCTTATATACCGCAATTCTCAGCCCTTTAAGGGCGACTCATTGCGGTGTACAACATGAAAAAACAAGTGCAAATTACAAAACATAGTGCAAAATAATCCACAATTCATCATTATCAGAAAAACATCTTATCAAAACATCAACATTACTACAAAATTTCTACTACATTCCGAATCGTCTCATCGTCAAGCCACAATCCGATATCATTTCCGTTGTTCCATTCCTATGGTCAAATTACCAGTCATTGCACTTCTTGGTCAAATGCCTTCTTAAATAGCCAGGTCTTTAACTTCCTGCGGAATATCAACAGGGAGGGAGCTAGCCTGATGTCCACGGGAAGGGTGTTCCACAGCCGAGGAGCCACCACCGAGAAGGCCCTATCTCTCGTCCCCGCCAGCCGTGCCTGTGACGCAGGCGGGATCGAGAGCAGGGCCTCCCCGGAAGATCTCAAAGTCCTCGTGGGCTCATAGGCCGAGAGGCGGTCAGTTAGGTATCTTGGGCCGGAACCGTTTAGGGCTTTATAGGCCAATGCCAGCACCTTGAATTGAGCCCGGTAGCAGATCGGCAGCCAGTGGAGCTGGTACAGCAGAGGGGTTGTATGCTCCCTGCGTCCCGCTCCTGTTAGTATCATGGCTGCCGCACGTTGGACCAGTTGGAGCTTCTGGGCCGTCTTCAAAGGCAACCCCACGTAGAGAGCGTTGCAGTAGTCTAAGCGGGATGTAACCAGAGCGTGGACTACCGTGGCCAAGTCAGACTTCCCAAGATATGGGCGCAGCTGGCGCACGAGCCTAAGCTGTGCAAATGGACGGCCAACAGGGAGCTCTGGCGTGGGCTGGTCCATGAGGTCACAAAGAGTCGGAGACAACTGAACGAATGAACAACAACAACAACATATGTGGAATGACCAGGGTGGGACAAAGGACTCTTGTCTGCTGGAGCTAGGTGGGAACGTTTCAACTGACCACCTTGATTAGCATATAATGGCCTGACATTGCCTGGAGCAAACTTTTGTTGAGAGGTGATTAGATGTCCTTGTTAACCACGGAAAAATTTGTTTCTAAACTCGATTCGTTTTTAAGGGGTCCATCACGTTTCGTTTCTTTAAAGAATTCCGAAATTTTCCTTTTAAAAATTTCGAAATATATGAAATTTTGTAAATTTCGAATCGATTCGTTAATGGCGGACGCGATTGCGCAATATGCTAAAAAAAACCCTCCAAATATGCTAAAAATATGCTGAAAAAAACCTCCAAATGGGACAGGGGGAACTTCTGAAGCTTCCCTCTCCCTCTGTTGTTGACTGTTGGTGTGATAAAACAAACAACAACTATAAAACTTGCACCAGGCATGCGAAAATAATTACGAAACAATTATGAAACAATTACGAAATAAATTGAAAAAATTGTTTCGAATCTAATTTACTCCTCACACTATTCCTGCATGGCTCAATATCGGATCGTAAGCTAATTTAAATACGAATTAATAACGAATTACGAAATTAACGAACGAAACCGCCCAGCCCTAAATGTCCTTGTTTGTTTCCTCTCTGCTGTTTTGCTGTTGTAATTTTAGAGTTTTTTAATACTGGTAGCCAGATTTTGTTCATTTTCATGGTCTCCTCCTTTCTGTTGAAATTGTCCACATGCTTGTGGATTTCAATGGCTTTTCTGTGTAGTCTGACATGGTGGTTGTTGGTGTGGTCCAGCATTTCTGTGTTCTCAAATAATATGCTGTGTCCAGGCTGGTTCATCAGGTGCTCTGCTATGGCTGACTTCTCTGGTTGAAGGAGTCTGCCGTGCCTTTCATGTTCCTTGATGCGTGTTTGGGCAATGCTGCTGCGTTTGGTGGTCCCTTTGTAGACTTGTCCACAGCTGCATGGTATACGGTAGACTCCTGCAGAGGTGAGAGGATCCCTCTTGTCCTTTGCTGAACGTAGCATTTGTTGGATTTTCTTGGTGGGTCTGTAGATAGTTTGTATGTTGTGTTTCCTCATCAGCTTCCCTCTGCGGTCAGTGGTTCCCTTGATGTATGGCAAGAGTTCTTTGTCCCACCCTGGTCATTCCACAGATATATAAACCCATTTTTCCTACTTCCAACAGACCTCACTACCTCTGAGGATGCTTGCCATAGATGCAGGCGAAACGTCAGGAGAAAAATTGCCTCCAGAACATGGCCATATAGCCCGGAAAAACCTACAACAACCCAGTGATTCCAGCCATGAAAGCCTTCGACAATACATTGAACAAGCCTCTCACAGCAACGGGTCTCTCCAATGATCTAGGTCTTCCTTGCACTTGAATCTATAGAAACAAAAATGTAATGTTCGTTTGTGGGATTAACATAACTCAAAAACCACTGGATGAATTGATACCAAATTTGGACACAAGACACCTCTCAGGCCAACGAATGACCATCACTCATAAAAACACTGAAAAACACAGCAGAAGAGACTTAAAAAGCCAAAAAAACCCAACACATTATGAAATCAAACAAAATGGGCAGCCCAAATGGATGAGTTAAATTGATAAATGTATTGTCGAAGGCTTTCATGGCTGGAATCACTAGGTCCTTGTGGGTTTTTTCGGGCTATATGGCCATGTTCTAGAGGCATTTCTCCTGATGTTTCTCCTGCATCTATGGCAAGCATCCTCAGAGGTAGTGAGGTCTGTTGGAAGTAGGAAAAGGGGTTTATATATCTGTGGAATGACCAGGGTGAGACAAAGGAAATAAAAAGCCAATGGGATTTTGGCCTGCATCAATAGGAGCATAATGTCTAGATCTAGGGAAGTAATGCTACCCCTCTATTCCGCTTTGGTTAGACCACACCTCGAATATTGTGTCCAATTCTGGGCACCACAATACAAGAGAGATATTGACAAGCTGAAATGTGTCCAGAGGAGGGCGACTCAAAATGATCAAGGGTCTGGAGAACAAGCCCTATGAGGAGCGGCTTAAGGAGCTGGGCATGTTAGCCTGAAGAAGAGAAGGCTGAGAGGAGATATGATAGCCATGTATAAATATGTGAGAGGAAGCCACAGGGAGGAGGGAGCAAGCTTGTTTTCTGCTTCCCTGGAGACTAGGACGCAATGGAACAATGGCTTCAAACTACAAGAAAGGAGATTCCATCTGAACATGAGGAAGAACTTCCTGACTGTGAGAGCCGTTCAGCAGTGGAACTCTCTGCCCCGGAGTGTGGTGGAGGCTCCTTCTTTGGAAGCTTTTAAACAGAGGCTGGATGGCCATCTGTCAGGGGTGATTTGAATGCAATATTCCTGTTTCTTGGCAGAGGGGTTGGACTGGATGGCCCATGAGGTCTCTTTCAACTCTTTGATTCTATGATCCAGTAGTCACCATCTGCTCACCCACAAAAAAAACATATTTAATAAGCCTTGGCACTATAAGAGGGTTTCACAAGACCAGTCATTCTTGTTGCAACAGTTTAGTAGTGGTAAGGCTGTGTACCATATTTTAGTTCTTGTGGACCACTGGTGGTCTACAGACCACAGGTTGGGAACCACTGATCTATAGATATTATTCATATAGCTATCTATTAGGCATGGTTAGGTACCGTTGGAATCTTCATAATTCGGAATAAAGTCGGAAAAATTACCTTTTTGAAGCGATTTTGAAGTTTTTAAGGAAACCGGAAGTCCTTTCGCCCTTCCGAAGCTTCTCTCGCCATTTTTCTTCCAACTTCCATTTTTCTTCCAACTCAGGAAGTGAGTCAGAAGTG